AGCAGGCCGGCCATCTAAGCTGAGTGATCAGGGGAGAAGGGCCTTAGTCAAGGAGGTGATCAATAACCCGAGGGTCACTCTGTCTGAGCTCCAGCGTTCTTCTCTGGATAATCTTATAGAAGGACAACCATCTGTGCAGCAATCCACCAATCATGCCTGTATGGTAGAGTGGTCAGACGGAAATCACTCCCTGCCTGGAATTTGCCAAAAGGCATCTGAAGGACTCTCAGACCATACAAAACAAAATTCTCTGGTTTCATGAGATTAAAATTGAACTCTTTGGAGTGAATGTTAGGTGTTTCGCTTGGAGAAAACCAGGCACCGCTCATCACCAGAATAATACCATCCTTACAGTGAAGCATGGTGGTGGCAGCATCATGATGTGGGGATGTTTTTCAGCAGCAGGAAGGGGTAGACTGGTCAGGATGGAGAGAAAGATGAATGCAGCAAAGTAAAGAGACTTCCTGAATAAAAAACCTGCTTGACCTTAGTCTGGGGTGATGCTTCATCTTTCAGCAGGACAAAGACCCAAAGCACACCACCAAAATATCAACGGAGTGGCTTCACAACAACTCGGTGAATGTCATTGAGTGGCCAAGCCAGAGCCCAGACCTAAATTCTATTGAACATCTCTGGTAGATCTAAAAATGGCTGTACACTGTTGCTTCCCATCCAACCTGATAGAGCTTGAGAGGTACTGCAAAGAGGAATGGACAAAAATTTCCAAAGACAGGTGTGCCAAGCTTGTGGCATCATATTCAAAAAGACTCGAGGCTGTAATTGCTGCCAAAGGTGCATCAACAAAGTATTGAGCAAAGGCTGTGAATACTTATACATGTGATTTTTCAGGGTTTTTATTTTTTATAAATTTGCAACAATTTAAACAAATCTTTTTTTCACATTTTCATTATGGGGTATTGTGTGAAGAGTTTTGAGGAAATAAATTAATTTATTCCATTTTGGAATAAGCACTATGAATGCTTTCCGGAAGCACTGTAGATGTATGAATAACATAAGATGCTGTAGACTGACAGACAGACAAACAGACATACAGATAGATAGATAGATTTCATGCATTTATGCTCCATTTCTCTGAATATAAAGCACTGGGTTTTTTTTTTACGCAGAACTATGACTGTGGGTGCGGTTTAAGGCTCTGAAAATACGCTCTCCATAGTCTTCAGGTCCTGCTGCTCGGATGCCCTTCCAGAGAGCAGACTCATTTCCTCCTGCAGCCTCCAGCTCTGTTTCCCACCGGCTCTGCTAACCCCCCACTGCTCTGCAATTTCAAAATAAAGTGTCTTTTTAAGCAAGCGGGCTGTACTGCCTTTTCAACCTGTTCCAATGGAGAGCGTCTCTTTAGCAAAGCCCCATTGAGAGACCACGTGGCACGCTTGCTAATACCACGATCACTTTCATTCCCCCGTACCTCTAAAACCCTCTTAAACACGCCGGCGGCACATTAAAACGGGAGAGGGGAAATATAAGCGGAAGCGCTCGCTAAATTGCTCCACTCCAAATGAGTCTGATGAACCGAGCCCTTTGATTGCGTTTTCAAGCTCTGCATAAAATTTGTACGCCATTTTCTTTGCCACACTGTACCAATCGGTTAATCAGTGCCGCCCAAAACCCAGTCGGCTATCTGCAAAGAAAAAGAACCATGTCTTGGCAGGAGAAATCCAAGCGGTGGTTGTGTGTGACACTGCGTAAAGGGAAATAAATGTTATGTGCACTCGTGTGTACGTGCGAGAGGGGAGTGTGATAAATGCTTGATGTGCCGACCGTTCCCTCCTCCGTCTTTCAAAGGTGTGCGGTGCCCTTTAAGCACGGCTCGGTGGCTTATGAGAGCGGTTTCAGGCCGTGTTTACCCGTCTGTCAGGCTCACTGATGCCTGGGTGTACAACGATAAGGAAAGGTTGCCGTTTAAAGCCTCGGCGAGCTTTGCAAAACAAACTGGCAGCAAATGTGCATATTAATTCAGGCAGACAAAACAGGTCGGAGGAAATATAATGACAGAGTGACACAAACAAAGCAGGTGCTAAAATGATCCCATTTAGTCATTTAACAAAAGCTGGCGCGTTCACACAGCTTTCAGTGGACGCCGTCTTTTCCTCGCTCCGCTTTTTTAACCAACTCATCATCGCTCTCGCTGGCGCTTTTCATATCTTGCTCTCTTGCATGGAAGAGCGATGCATGAAATCTGGAGAAATGATGAAGGAAGCTGCTTGTGAAATAACAAAAATATTGAATGGAACAAAACCTGATACTTGGGTGAGTGGGATGGAGCATCATTGCTTATAGAAACTGTTATGAGGAGACTAGAACTTGCTGGAGACTAGAACTTGCTAGAGACTAGACGTTAGACATGCATAGATAGACGTGCATAGATAAGTATGCAAAAATAAACTTTTTAAAAAATAAAGTTTTGTCCATTTCTCACAGTGAATATGGACAATTTGGTACATTCAAACAAAACCATTTTATTCATCGACAAACATGTTTGGGAATAGAAAAAATAATTCAAATGAATGATTTAATTTAAAATGACATGTTGCAAAAAACATATACACAATTTACAAATTTTAACTGAATTGTATGTTTTAAAAAATATTTTCTCACAAACTTTTCTCTATTAAAATTTTATTGAATAGTTTCCCTATTTAATATAACTGTATTTATATTATAAAATAATTATTATTAGTTAATTGCATTAATAATATATGTCATTTCAAATAACTGATTTATTTTATCTTTGCTATGATGACAGTAAATAATATTTTACTAGATATTTTTCAAGACACTTCTATACAGCTTAAAGTGACATTTAAAAGCTTAACTAGGTTAATTAGGTTAGCTAGGCAGGTTAGGGTAATTAGGCAAGTAATTTTACAACGATGGTTTGTACATTATTATTTCATTATTTTCTTAAGGGGGAAAAGTGCTCTCCAATAATAACAGAGTAGTTTTGTTGCAAGGGTTGCATTTCTTTTTTGTTCTGTTGATGAACTCACAAACAACAAACATTTACCGCTGCTGCGCATCTCGATGTTTAGGTTACGGTTGTTTATTCAGCCGAAATGACAGTAACGGCATGGATTATTGCAAAACAAGATGGAGATTTCATTGCAGCAATTACATGGCAGGGTAAATTATTTATATTCTCCTGGATTTTGTATAAGTGTAGAGGTGTTTGTATCTGATTTGTATATAGCACATTAACATATTTATACACATAGCTAGGCTTGTATTAAATATTTATTGGTGATGTCAAAAAATTATCGCGTTAAAAAAAAGTTTGTTCACATGAATGAATTAAACATGCATAACTTTTTTTTTTTTTTTTTTTAGCATTATAAACTCTACATGTTGGATAATAAAGCCCAAATTGCCTTTTTTTCCAAAGATACATGAACTGTTACTGTTTTAGTTTGGGAAGGTCATTAAAAGTGCCTCTGACGGTGAGGAAAAGGACACTGATAGAGTATTAATAAACTTTTGACAGAAATCTCATGTTATCAAACTTGAAACATAAACTCATGAAACATTTGGCTTTCAAGTCATTTTCTTGGATATAACAATAATGTTTTCCTGTGTTAGTATATAGGAAAACAAATATTAAACACAAAACAACTTTTTCTGATGACCTAATATTATATAACTTTTTTATATTTTTGAGCATGAAACATCCCCTTTTACCACAATAAAGCCCACCGTATCTTCTTTTCAATGATGCCTGATAATTTGTTTTGTAGCTTCCTGGAGACAAAAACTGCTACTATTTAAAGTTAGGTAGGTATAACTCCCCAAAAGTGAGTGCTGGCTAACAGGTTTAAATAAATATTTCTCACTTGCTGCCTCTTCTTCTGGAAGTTCTTTCTGGAACTTTTCATCATTTGTTAGCAAAAACATTTGGAAGTCTGTAAAGCATTTGTTATTTTGGCCAATTTAAACAATTATAAACAACACAAAACTTAAACATTTTGATGTTCTGATAGCAATTCCTATGTAAAAGAATCACTTCCTGCCCTCCATCTGAATTTGGCATATCATCAATTAAGTCATGTGAAAACAACCCCTCCCTCCCTCTATATATAAATATATACACACACACACACACACACACACACACACACACACACACACACACACACACACATACATATGCAAAGTGTGTGAACGTTACTTATCTTTTTTTTGTGCATTAATTTTTAAAAAACAATTCCCAGCTAGCTGACAAAAAGTAATAACTCTACTCTATTCCACCATCAATAAATAACAAGAAAGTGATAATGCAGTGGCAATCTTGACGTAAAATATCCCCATGTGAAGAGACGCAGACTCATCGATCAATAGTCCATTAGCATCCGTTCCTCTGTTATTCTCCGGACCTCATGAGAGTCTACATTTATTGGTCTCTCTGCTGTCCCCTGGCCCCACATAACTACAGATTAGCTCACTCTGTAGGGCCTCCATTCTAACTGAAGCTATTGTGTGTAAACGCATTCACCCTGAGACGGGAGTCACCTTAACCAAAGTGCAAAATTAAAAAGGCGCTCGATCTCGCGGCGAGCCCTTGTGCTGACAAAAGTGGCGGAGTAGAATAAATTGCAGCCGCGACAGAAAAACAGTCTGTGATATAAATATGAAAAAGAGCCTGATTTAATTTAGTGCTCATCTGCTAAGGGCTAGAAAAATGAAATGAAATTTGAGAGGCATAATTCATCAAACCAAGCAGGCTCCATTTCAGCGGTGTCAGAGTCTCACGGAACAGGGCAACGAGAAACGTCTTCAAAGCTTCCAGAACCCACGGCATCAAACATCGCAGGAAACGTGACTGCTTCATTAGCATTCGCAAGCACTTTTCCATGCTCAAATTAACATCGGCAAAGTGAAATTACTGATTAAGCGATCTTGAGTGGTGGAATTGTGACACGTGTCGTTTGTTGGAGGAACCGAGGCTGTGTTTTACAGTTATGCAGAGATAAGGATGTATATCTTACCTCATTGACATTGATGCCGTGTCTTCTCATGTACTCCCGGTCGTTGACCTGACCGCCCTCTGCAAAGTCCATGGTTAGAATACGTTTGGTGGAAAGATCCCAGTGAATCTTCGGGATCTAGAAGAAAACCAAACTTATCCTTAGCAATTGTCATGTATTTTCAGAAAACTTTTAAAGGAAGAAAGTGGGCTAATTCTTTTTTTACTTTATTAGTTCTAGGTGAATTACTTTTATAAAAGTGCTAAAATAAATCCTAAAACACCATGGACCACAAGCGTTTTTTTTAATCTTGGTCCTAAGCCCCAAACTCTGCACATTTCACGTTTCTCTTTTCATAGGTTTGCTCTGATTTGACCATAAGTGCTCTGCAAAGTGGGCTCCACAGGATATTTCACCATGATTTCAGTTTAAAGAGAGCATATATGTTTTATTCAAATTACATTTTTTATTTGTGATACGTAAAATTAAAAAAGTTTTCATTATATGGAGGTACATTACGTCACTTCCCCAATAATGTGGATATTTTATGACACTTCCCCAACTTCAGATTTGGGTATTATTGTATTTAAATACATACTTCTCTGTAATCTATTTAGATCATCTGTGTGGGTGATTCCATTCTGCCCCTATAATGTTTAGGTATGAACTCTGTGGAGGCCATTTTATGACTTTCAGCGTTTGATCATCTTGTTTTTTCCTCCCAATAATTCACTGATCAGGTAAAGACTGAGAGTTAATTATATTTGTTCTTCATACATGTGTGAAACAACTTCAAATGCTGGCCTTTTGTACAGTAGTTTATTAGGGTGTTTTAATGGAGCTGCTATACTACTGTATTCTATTATAAAGTAATGAATAAATAAATAAATAAATGAATTAATAAAATAATAAATAAATAAACAAATAAATATGAATAATTTAAAATAAAAACAAACAAATGAATGAATGAATAATTGAATGAATGAATACATACATACCTACCTACCTACCTACCTACCTACCTACATACCTACATACATACCTACATACCTACATACATACCTACATACCTACATACATACCTACATACCTACATACATACCTACATACCTACATACATACCTACCTACCTACCTACCTACCTACCTACCTACCTACCTACCTACCTACCTACCTACCTACCTACCTACCTACCTACCTACCTACCTACCTACCTACATACATACATACATACATACATACATACATACATACATACATACATACATACATACATACATACATACATACATACATACATACATACATACATACATACATACATACATACATACATACATACATACATACATACATACATACATACATACATACATACATACATGAATGAATGAATGAATGAATGAATGAATGAATGAATGAATGAATGAATGAATGAATGAATGAATGAATGAATAAATAAATAAATAAATAAATAAATAGTTGATATGCAGTTCCAACATTTTTGTTGTAAGCATTGCAGTGTTATTATCCAATTTAATGTTTTAAGGGATTTTTAGACTGTTGCTGTGTGATTTCTAGGGACAAAAGCTTTTTAATAAGCTCTTTAAGATGTGATGTGCAACTTAAATGTGGTGTTACTGGGAATGCTATGCAAGTTTAAAAGGTAACAATTAATACCTAAACCCATGTACAAGTGAGGCATATTATGTCACATATTAAGGAACTTCCCCAATAGTATGGATACATGTCTCATATGGCACTTCCCCAACTTCGTTTTCAGCTTCGGGAATTTTGGTATTTATTTGCTTCCTCTGTGCAGGTGATTCCCTTTTCCCTCTATAATGTTCAGGTCTGGATTCCCAGGCCATTTCGTTTGAATAGCTTGTTTTTTCTGCCAATATAATTTCACTGCTCTATTGAAGACAAAGATAATTATATTTGGTCATTATACATCTGCTAAAACAGTAGTGAATGCTGGCCTTTTGTATAGTAGTTGCAGGTTTACTACGTTTATATATAATACCTTTAACTGTTAAAAGCGATTAGTAACTAGTCAATAAGTTAAAGGTTTTAGTAGCTAATAAATTTATAGTAACTAATAACTAGGCCCACACAGAATCTGAAAGTGCAGAAATATTATTAATTTATTAATTTAGACGATTAATTTAGTTGTGTGTAAAGGTGTAAATTTATATTTATTCCCGTTCTTACAATAATTTCAGTAATATTACTGACTAATACTTTATGAAAATTTTTATATGATTTACTTACAACACAGTTCGTAAAGTAATAATTTCTGTCTTTTAGTAGATATATTGCTGATATATATATAATATATGAGAGACTTGCTATTACCAAATAAATAGATCTAATAGGATTTGCATTGTAAACACTGAAAACAAGTTAAAAATGTATAACTTTTTATTTAACACACACACACACACACACACACACATATATATATATATATATATATATATATATATATATATATATATATATATATATATATATCTGATATATTATGATCTATATATAAGAAAATAATAATAATAATAAATAAATATATATATATATATATATATATATATATATATATATATATATATATATATATATATATATTATTATTATTATTTTTACAATACACCCAAAATCATTCCACAAAAATCTGCAGATTCTGCCTGGCTCTACTAATTAACTTAACTGAATTGAATAGGTTAATTTGGTAAACAAACAAACAAACAAACAAACAAACACAGACACACACGCGCATGTTTGCATGCATGCATGCACGCGCGCACACACACACACACAAACACACACACGAATGAATGAATGAATGAATGAATGAATGAATGAATGAATGAATGAATGAATGAATGAATGAATGAATGAATGAACTTTCTATGCATTTACCAAAATGTTTTGTGCATTGCAGAGTGTTGCTATCCAGTTTCTGGGGAGATAAGCTTTTTAATGTTAAGCTCTTAAAAATGCGATGAGCAACTTTAATGTGGTTCTGTTGGGAGTTTGAAACATTACAATTAATATCTATACTTATTTGAAAGAAAAGAGCCCTAGTAATGCTTGATAAACCAATGGCAAAGCATTGCCCTATGACCAAGCAGTATTTTCAGCCACACCACAATCACCAATTAGTGTCCTGGTAAGAATCACTATCTGTACTTCCTGACGATCGTATAGAGAAAATGAACCCCAGCAAAAAGTCTCCTCGTGACGGATAATGCCAGATGCTAAGAATTAGCTATAATCTGCACATAAAGCTCAAAGCAGCAGGCTTTTTCTTGATGCTTCAGATGACCTTGCCCTTCCACACGACGGCTTCCTTTTCCTGAACATCACAGCTTATCTTGTGCATCTCGTTACTGACTCGTCGCACTAATTAAAAAAAACTTTCTCCATATAATGGGGGAGATTTAGTGATATGTGTTTTCATTGATAGCTTCCCTCCACCTGACACAAAGGCCTGGCTTTTGCCACCACACTGGCAGCACTCTGAGCCTAGTTCCTCTCTGCTCTTTTTATCAAACAAATGTCAACAAATGATACAAAAAAATCCCTGCGTTACCACCACATGAACAGAGCCATTTTTCAGCTCAGTGTCTGCCTTGTGAAGCAGCCACACTCTCTGAACTGCCTGTGACTCCGCTGTGCCACTGCCGCTGTATAATCATGCTTGTTTTACAGGGCGAGAGTCTGATGCAGGGAGCCGGGGATTTATTCCTGACATGGCGGCTTGTGCTTCGCTGTCAAACGTTTTGACAGAGCTAATAGTGTGCATTAGAAGCACAAATCTGCGGGTGTAAACCCAGGCAATTCTCATTACCCCGCAGGGCCAGCCAGGTCTCTTTGTTATTCATTAAAAATGAAAAGGGGACTTGCCTGCAAGCATTTGGCAGTTGTTATGACAGATTATTTACCTTCCAAAGTCTTTTTGCGGGGTAGGAATACAAGGGTAGTCTGATACATGGAGTCTAGCTGAGACAGTGTGGAAAAGTGCAAGCTAGTACGCCGCTTTAGTAGGACATGCAATGTGACCGGCTTCACTTAAAGTTGACAAAACACTCAGAATAAGATGTTGAAATGTCAAAAAGTCTCAGCTTTTTGCTTTATAGTGCTGAAGTCTGATGAAATATGAGTTTTTCATTCATTTTTCACTGCATTCGCGCAGCCTTGAAGGGCACACTACTCAAGAGTTGTTTCAGACTAAAATGAGCAACTGATTTTTATCCAGAAGGCCGCTGGCAAACTATATATATATATAAGACATTAGAAATATTTTCAGAGCTGTAGATCATTTGTATTGCTTGGAGAAGGAAATTAAAATAATTATAATAGCTATTTATTTATGTGCACAATAGGATAAGAAAAGGCATACATGAAAAAAAAATACAGGTGTACATTATCATTTTAAAAATGCTTTATAAGTCAGATTGCAGCTTCATCTGTAGCTGCTGTTTCACACGAACACACACACACAAACATAGTTATCGTTTCTGCTGATATGCAAAACACATGGAATATTGTTAGTGTGGGAATCGAGGTTTCATTAAAGAAGACCAATTAGACAATAATTTAGATGAACAGAATCAGACACTGCTGTTTTTTATGTTACGAATTTCTCATTATAAATTACGATACCACTTGGTTCATTGGTCTGTTGGGTATGATTACTTTCTTACATTAATTGAACCTTGTCAAGGTTAATTGGGCCAAGACCACCAGGATGGACTGTTATGGTGTGGATTTAAGTGTAATAATGCTGTTCATATATACATAAGCAAAAGCTTGACCAACTACTCCTGAACATGAATATTAACAAGAGGTTTCTTTTAAATGCTTTTTCAGGGTACAGTTGAAGTCAGAATTATTAGCCCCCTGAATTATTAGCCCCACTGTTTATTTTTTTCCCCAATTTCTGTTTAATGGAGAGATTTTTTAAACACATTTCTAAACATAATAGATTTAATAACTAATTTCTAATAACTGATTTATTTTATCTTTGCCATGATGACAGTAAATAATATTTTACTAAATATTTTTCAAGACACTTCTACACAGCTTAAAGTGACATTTAAAGGCTTAACTAGGTTAATTAGATTAACTAGGCAGGTTAGGGAAATTAGGCAAGTTATTGTATAACTGTGGTTTGTTCTGTAGACTATCGAAAAAATAGTTAGCTTAAAGGGACTAATAATTTTGACCTTAAAATGATTCATAAAAAAATTAAAAACACCTTTTATTCTAGCCAAAATAAAACAAATTAGATTTTCTCCAGAAGCAAAAATATTATCTGACACACTATAAATAATTTCCCAGAGTTGCGGATGGATGGGCATCCGATACGTTAAAACATATGATGGATAAGTTGGCAGTTCATTCTGCTGTGGCGACCCCAGATTATTAAAGGGACTAAGCCGAAAAGAAAATGAATAGATGAATATTGTGAAAATTTCTTCAACTGAATATGCAGAAATCCTAAAGGTAATTTCAAAACCTTTTTAAAACTTTTTAAAGACCTTCTCAGAATATTTTAAGACCTCATTGCCACTTCAAGTTCTTATCAGCATCAAAACTTAAACTTAATAAACAATTTTTAATTAACAATTGTAGTAAAATAAATCAATGGAGCACAACCACGCAACAGAACTCAGATAAGCTCGGAAAAAACAAAGCTTGAAAGAATAAATTATGTGGTTGTTTTCAGCAACAGGCTTCAGCAATTGTTTAAACTCGTCACATTACCTCTTTCTCGTTTGTTGCAAATTACGTGACATCACCCAGATGAGGGAGCTTGGCTAAACACGCCCCAGCCCGAACCAATAGTGTGAATTGTGCATGCCATTGTTAATATTACTAGAAAAATAAATATATTTATGCTTTATTAAAGTCAAAAACTTTGAATAACACTTGATCAAAATTTAAGACCTAGTAAAAACATCATTAAGACTTTTAATACCTTTTAAGGGCCTTCATTTTCTCATAATTGATTTATCAACTTTTAATACCTTTAAAGACCCCGCGGACACCCTGTTTTTAAACCCACACTTTCACATACCTTCAAAAAGCTGAACTGCTTGAGCATGTCTGCTATTTTCTCAGCATTGCGGCCCTCATTGAGGAAGTCCAGCTCCAGGGGCATGTTCTTCTTGGCCTCTTCCACCAGCCACATAAAGGCAAAGTCTGGAAACAACCAGTGGACAACCTGAAGGAGAAACTGAAAACAAACATAGTAGGCTACAGTTATTTATATTTGATTTTGCAATTTACAAAAGTAAACCTTAAAAAAGTAATCTGGAATTCCCTGACAAGAGGAAAACTGTGGGGATCACAGTGGCGCAGTGGGTAGCACATCACACACATACACTACGGCCAATTTAGCTTATTCACCTATAGCGCATGTCTTTGGACTTTGGGGAAACCGGAGAACCCAGAGGAAACCCACACTAATATGCGGTATAATCCAATACCGTTCATATCGATATGCTTTAAGGCCACACCTGTGCATTCGGCGCAAAACAGACCACTCCAAGGTAGAACACGGGCTCCACTTGCACTAATGTGTGCATGCGCAAGTGAATAATTCACTCCATGACTCATACAAAAGATTTGTTCAAAATGAACGAATCGTTAAAGAACGACCCATCAATAAACGCGACATGGAGGAACCAGTCATTGGGAGGAACATGCAGTGCAGGTGTTGTATTGAAATCTGACTCCCCGGATAAATCTGACTTCCCTTCGTGTGCACGCACGTCACAGCGGTTTATTAGAAACCTTTAATCAATCATTTCTTCTGCAATTGACAACAAGAACGAACATAGAAGTCTTGTCAAATTGCCAAGCAGCACCTGAATGTGTTTAAAAGTCTAATCTTTCGGATGATCTTTTTTCGGATGATAGTTTAATCTTTCGGATGAGATGTTAAACCGAGGTCCTGCCTCTCTGTGGTCATTAAAAATCCCATGGCACTTCTCGTGAAGAGTAGGGGTGTTACCCCAGTGTCCTGGCCAAAGTCCCTCTATCGCCCCTTACGATCATGGCCTCCCACTCATCCCCATCCACCAAATTGGCTCATCACTGTCTCTGCACTCCACCAATAGCTAGTGTGTGGTGAGCGCACTGGCGCCGTTGTCCTGTGGCAGCAGTCGCATCATCATCTAAGTGGATGCTGCACACTAGAGGTGGTGTGGAGAGCCCCCCCTCATGATTGTAAAGTGCTTTGGGTGTATGGCCATACACTATAAATGCACTATATAAAATACACATTACATTAAAAGAATAAAAACGCCAAAATGGGAAGAATTTATTTCCCATTTCGAAAGTGAAACGGCCTCATATACACTGATTAGTCTGTTATAATGACTGTTTACATTTATATGCTTAACCAGCATTTCATCACAGCACTATCTATAGTCAAATTCGTTTTCAGCTCCTTATTTAATATTTAGTAAAACAAGTTCGATCAACACAAAAGAAAAAGTGTAAGATTTTTTTACATAGAGTGAAAGACTTCTCTTTAGATATCTTCGATATGTGCACTGTTTATTAATTGCGCACAATACTTATGTAAATGTGTAACTAAAAAACATACAGCTGATTTAATTGCTGTTTGTAAATCACACAACTGTGGTATAAGATTACTTAAAACAACACTGCAATTGTGACATTAAATACTGTGTTTCATATTTATATTCAATGTGGTTCTTTTCTATCCTACAATACTTTTTGTTGTGTTTCTATTTAAGTGTGTTCCTTTTTTGCCCTGACAATGTAGCTCTGTTTTCTATGGTTCTGTTTACTTTGTTATTTGCACAACAGCACATTAGCGCTGTCTATAGTGTTAAGCAGGAAAAAACCCTGTACTGTATTGATTTATTAAAGATTTTGTTTATAATTGTAAATGTTGTGCAACAGTTTTAAGCAGAAGAGAAACCTTTAATGTATTTATTTATCAAAGATTTTGTGCAGCTGTTTTTTTTGTGCAGCTGTTTATTTGTAGACAGGGAGGGAAACCCGTGTTATTTTTAATTATATAATTATATAATTATGTAATTATATTTTGCTCAAAAAAATGTTAAATAATGTTTTAAGGCTTTAACTCTCAAGTAACTATTAACGGGAAAATACCGGATATATATATCGTATACTTTCATTCCTCCTAAAAATACCGGGATATGATATTTCACCTATATATCGCCCAGCCCTAATAGGACCCCTTTAAACTGAAGCTCAAATCTCTAAACAAGACCTAGCCATAATAGAGTAATTATATGTGATACAAATGAAATTGTAGGCGCATGGACAAATGGTTATTTGCGATCAAATAAATGAATAAAACTGTAGCTTGAATGATGGATTCTATTTTTTAAGCACTAATGGGAGGTGAATAGGCCCCCAGACGAATCGAGCTATACATGGGCGTGTGACAATGACAGAGCGTGTGAATTAGGCATCAGAAGGCAGGCATCGGCAGCCCTGCTCCCTCGGTAATTACCTCCATCACAACAATGTCCTTGGAGCTTTGGCGCTGGACCTTGGGATGTTGTACTTTCACTGCCACCGTCCTCCCGTCTGGAAGTACTGCTTTGTGGACCTGAGCGAGAGACGCGGCCCCGTGAGGTGTCTCGTCAAACTGGATGAAAAGATCGCTGAGCTGAGGAGGGAATTTTGTTTAAAGGTTAGAAAACTGGAAAAGAGGCAAGAACTCTATCACACCTGAATGCCGTAGGTGTTTTGACACTGAAAAGCAAGCAGGCAGTTGTCTAAATGGCAGTATTATTCAAAGCAACTTGCGCTACGCTCTGGGGCAAATTCGGGTAGGTAGAAGGTACCACACAAATATCAACATTATTTTCCGTAATTGTTTAAATCAAAGTTTAAACAATTATCTTCTTTGAAAAAAAGATGATAATTGTGATATTTATGATAATAATAATAATAATAATATTAATAATAATAATGTGTTAATAATCCGACCCACATAGAATCTATAGAATTCTTTTAAATATTGAATTGATTTTAAAATTTGATTATTCATCTACAAAGCCATCAATCTTGCTCCTCGGTACCTTACTGACTTGCTCTGTCCGTATACCTCATCGAGTGTTCCAGAGTTTAGGACCATCAACCGCAAAAGCTAGATCACCTCGTTTTTTAAGGTGTGTTCTTGGCATGGTGAGTAAATTGGGATTAAAATTCTCTCCTTAATCACTGCTTTATTGCTTTTATTGGTTAAATGTTTATTTTATATTCTGCTTTCTGTTTTTATTACTCCTACTGTATGTACAGCACTTTTTTTATTTTGTTATGCTTATAAAATGTTTTATTGTCATGCTGTACTTAGTCATACTTTATTAAGTATTCATATTGATAAAAGTAATGTTTGAAATATATTTTAGCATAGTTGAGTGGCTAATAATCAAACTAAGTTTTATTTAAGGGTCCTCTGTTTTTATTTACATCTTTAAAGGTTTGGGCTTTGTAGCGCTTTTGTCTAAAATATAATACAATATAATAAAATTCATATAATATAATATAATATAATATAATATAATATAATATAATATAATATGATATGATATGATATGATATGATATGATATAATATAATATAATATAATATAATATAATATAATATAATATAATATAATATAATATAATATAATATAATAGAATAGAACGGAACATAATAGAATAGAATATAATAGAATAGAATAAAACAGAACAAAACAGAACAGATCAGAATAGAATAAAATAGAATAGAAATGAATAGAACAGAACAGAACAGAACAAGATTGAATAGAGTAGAATAGTATAGAACAAAAGTGAAGATAATAGAGTAGAATAGAGTAGAACAGAATAGAACAGACCAGAACAAAACAAGATAGAATAGAATAGAACAAAAGAGAATAGAATAGAACAGAATAGAATAGAATAGAATAGAATAGAATAGAATAGAATAGAATAGAATAGAATAGAATAGAATAGAATAGAATAGAACAGATCAAATTAGAACAGGATAGAATAGAACAGAACAAAACAGAATGGGATAGAATAGAATTGAATAGAACAAAATGGAATAGAATAGAATAGAATAGAATAGAATAGAATAGAATAGAATTAAAATGGAATAGAGCAGGACTGAAAAGAACAGAATAGGATAGAGAAGAGAAGAGAAGAGAAGAGAAGAGAAGAGAAGAGAAGAGAAGAGAAGAGAAGAGAAGAGAAGAGAAGAGAAGAGAAGAGAAGAGGGGATTTAAATAATATAATAGAACAGAACAAAATAAAATAGAATAAAATAGAATAGAACGAAACAAAATAGAATAGAATAAAATAGAATGAGATTTAAATAATAGAATATAATAGAATATAATAGAATAGAATAGAATAGAATAGAATAGAATAGAACAAAACTGAATAGAATAGAATAGAACAGAATTTTATATAATTTTCTGTACATACCGCAATACAATTATTTTAATATCACTCATCTGAACTCAAATGCAGCGACATGTTCTCTTTTGCATTATTTCTTCTAAAATGTGTTCTACTAAATGTAAATACTGTCTATGAAGAAATATGATTTTCAACAAGGAACAAATCGTTTAATTGCCAGTTCAGTTATAACAGCGGGGGAAATTATGTTGAGCAGGGTGTAAGCAGGGCATCTTGTAAATGCAGTTGGTGAAAAATAGCATGACTGATCAGTATGCCACTTTTTTACTGCGATGCCAACTGCAATGAATATTCAACACAGACACTACAGGGGCAATGGAAGGGGATGCCAAAAGGAAGTGACAAATTTCTCATTTGTGTGTGCACAAGAGGAGTTAACCATAAATAAATACTCAAAAAAGGAATATCAAGCTGCTCGGCTCTGAAGCAGAATATTTTCAAATGCGTTTCGCCTCTCCTTTGAGGACAAAAAGAATGTATCTGCTTATAAAAATGAAACGCATTGGACCTTTTAACACTGAGTGCTAGAAATCCCAGCTTTTACTCAATTAACGTCACCTGGCAACATCTACACAAACAGAGGAAAGAGTAGCAGATGAAGGTCAACTCAAATTTGGTTGTTCTTTTCAAACCTCCAAAGTACAGAGTGAGTAGAGAATATAAAAGGCGTATTAAGCATTTGGAGCATGCCTGCTTTCAACCACTTCCAGAGAAATTGGTTTCGAAATTATTGGTCAAAAAACTTTGAACAAGCAAAAAAAGACCACCCACTCTCAACCTGCTGAACTACTGTGATTGCTATGGGACATGCTGTGAGACAATGCACCAAAACAAGGTACAGTATAACCATACTTTGTAGCATTAATAACCAAACACAGATTATAGTCAAAATCATAGCATCCACAAAATCATCCACCTCCTTTACATCTGCTTGTTCACAAGCTGTGCAAAATGGGTTCATTCATTCATTCAGCAGTACTGCACTTTTGTAGCTTGAATAAAGAAGAAATATAGGCCTTGAGAGCTCAAAAATGTTTTGAGTTAAGAAAAACACATGCACACACTGGGGAAAAACTTGAACAATTTGAGAAAAATTATCAATTTAACAACATGTGTGCATAAATAATCACAACACATGCAAATAGAGATATGCACTGCAAATAGCCTAGACCACAATACAAATGTGTTGAGGGATCCCAAAAAGTGACAAAGGCTATTTCTCAATTCCAAGAATGCTAAGAACGTACTCCTGTTTTTGCGGCGACCATTCTTGCCAAGCTACCTTGGAAGAACGAACTCGGGAGGCTGTGAGAACAGAGAACGCGTTCTATAAGAAATGAGATGCTGCATTTTTTTTCTGATGGTCACATGACCTTCACGCATTTTTAACAAAAAATTGTTTGAATATCAAATCATTCATACAACAATTTATTGTTTTTCCCCTTTTCACAATATATACCATACATAAAGACATTACAAATATACTTTTCACAATAAAAATTAAAACTATTTTTATTATGAATTTCAGCAAATAAATACCTTTAATGTGCTTAGGCCTTTATTAAGATGTTCATGATAATGTTTACTTTCACCGTCTCATTTAGGGAAACTCCTGAGACAAATAAATGTTATCTCTGAACTTTAATAATAAATCTATATAAATATCCTGGCTCAGCTGCAATGACTTTTGGGACTCCTCGAGCGAATTTGGCTCTCAAGTCTGCATCAGCGCATCCTTGATATCTAGAACTGGAACTGATTGGAACTGAACTTTGGCAGCTGATGATGACGTTACATGAGAACACGAGGATGCAAGAACGCTGAAGAACGCATATTGAGAAAGAGCCTAACTCTTCTGCTTCTTGTTTAGAATCACCGGTGTTGCCTGAGATATGAGAGGTGAGTTTTTCCTGCTTATTTTAATGCTCTGTTCATATAGTTCCTTGTTGTTTGTATATTTTTAGATCTGAGAGTAACTATTGCTAACATTAAAATAATATTAAAATTAAAACTGCATTTTTTTTATTTGTGCAGTGGAGATTTGAGATGTTTTTTTTTGGTGATTTTAACAACCGGATTGTATGGTTTCCTGTTTGTGTATTTTTACTCCTAACAATCAAAGTAATCCACTTGTTAGGTGGTGACGTGTTTGTGACGTATGTAATACTGTTTCCAGGTCCAAGCTGCCATTCATTTGAGTGGAGAAATCATTTGTTTATGATCACGTTTTATTCCTATCACACATTAAAGTTAATTTTATATAAAATCATAGTGTACACAACAATCTCTGGGCTTGCTGCATAACAAATACCAAAAAGTTAACAATTTCTAAAAAAATTAATAACTTTCTGGCCATCGGATTTTAGGCATGGACATACTGTATATACTGTGATCGTGATTTTCGAAAGCATTAAATTGCTTTGTAAACGTTTATTATTATCATTTCATGAGTCTCCCCATTCAGTTGAATAGAGCGCTTGGACCCGGAAGCCGCTTCGCATGAAGTCACACTTAACAAGCGGATTGCACAATAAACATTCAATGTAACATTACTTTACCTTTAACACATTTTTCTTTATGCTAACAAGAGTTACTCTCAGAACTAAAAATATACAAACAATAAGGAACCAGGACTTTAAAATAAACAAAGCACTCAGATCTCAGACAACACTGCTGACTCATCATTTTTTCAGGATCCCCTGACACGTCCGTGCATTTGAGGGAATTTTTTGTGATCAAAACCACAGAAGGTGAAATTATACTAATACCTCACTCTTTCCAATATTTGCATGAATTCTTCATGCAAACCTAAGAGTCTTATATGATGAGCTTGTTGATTTTGCACCCAAGATACAATATGGGTAGTCCTAAGAGAAATCAATAATAACTATATTCATATACAGTCTTTGATTAAATGATGCTTATATCTCTGAACGTGTAAATAATGTTATCTAGTACTGTATGCACAAACCTTTTTTTGCAGGTCAGAATTATGCTTACTAAATCAATTGTTAGCACTTGCCATACTTATTTAAAGCCAAGTCAACAATCATAAACATTTGAGCCGTATAAATGGAAAGTTAATCTGCATTAACGGTTTAGATTTTTTCATAATGAGTCCAATAACCAGCAAAGCCTATTTGGCAGTAGCTAAAAACGGAATTAAGAAAAGGCACGGCTGATGACTAAGTTAGTGGAT